AGAGAGAGAGAGAGAGAGAGAGAGAGAGAGAATTGGAATAAGTTGACCTACCTTCCCTTTCAACTCATATATATATGTATCTCAATATGACTAAAGACTACTATATCCTCTTGGGATATACTTATTACATAAATGCCACTCTATATATTCTAACACAAATAAATGGCATATCCTTTTTTTTTTGCCATTCAAATAGCATGCAAAAATATCTTTATTGCACAACGATTGCATAAGACTAATGATTCTTTCTTTTATATTTTCTTTTTTCTGGAAACTCCTAGGACTATCTATTCAGGATGATACATAGGAAAAAAAATAGGTTCAGTTCCATTTACTTTTGCATGGTATATATTTACTGACCTTACCAATGCCAGGTCAGATGCTGAACGCCTACAAAGTCTTACGGAGAAACAAGCTCAGAAACTAGCTGAGAACGCAATGTACATAAAAGAGCTGGAAGACAGAGAGACTATGTTAGCTCAAAATGTTAGTGTCTGATTATAGAGGAATGAGATATTTAAAGGTTGTGTATTCCGGGAGCATGCCCTTTGTTTATACATCAGTTACATTTCCTTCTGTTTTATGTCTTAAAGATTGAAGAACTCTTGATGGAAATTAAAGAAACTGAAGAAGAGGTTGCTAGATGGAGGGAAGCCTGTGAGATGGAAGTGGAAGCTGGAAAGAGTGCTGTTGAAGAACGTGACGAAGTGGTAATTATTTGTTAATACCTTACATTTCTGCTTTTCTTGGTTTCCATGTTGCTGCAATTATTGAGTTGCTTGAAGCTTCTCTGCTTCTTCAGCTAGTTGTTAGTATGGAATTTTACAGGAACCTTCATGAAGTCAAATATTAACAGGAAATATTTATGATTTTATGATAGTGCCCAACAGACTGGTTGCTGTGAACTACAAAATTATTCATGCTAATAGATTATATGGTCTGGTAATGAGCATTTATGACTTCTGCTGCCATACAACCAATCTGAACAGCTGTATCCTCCCATCCTAGTGGGTGCCCTCATTCTGGAACCATATCTCTTGATTAGAAGCTAGCAGAAGTGGGTACTTACATCTCGAGTTTCACTCAAGTATACTGGGAATCAATATAATCGTTTAGGCTAAAGCAAGAGGAAAATAGCATCTCATGGAATTCCTTAGACAATGAAATGTTTAGTATCTTATGTTTACCAATGGGCCTTTGGTTCAATGGTACTCCTTACCTTGTGAAGACTTTTGTCTTCTTGAGGTCAAAGGTTCAAGTCTCCCAACCCCCTCCCCAAAAAAAAATTTAAAAAAAAATAAAAAATAGTATCTTATGGTTAAGTTTTCTGAATTAGAAAGGAGTTACCCTGTCGATATGTAAGAGTGTTTTTTTTCTGGCAGGTAGTATGCAAGTATTTTTACTACTTCCAGAAAAAGTAAAACACAACTTGAGATGGTGGGGATCTTCACACTAGATAATAAGGTTATAAATATGGTATTTATCTTTGAAATTTTATTATCTGTATCACTTGCATGCATTTTTAGGACAAGTTTCTTTCAGCCTTTCCACTTTTAGAGTTATGCTTCCCGGCAACTGTTTTCTGTGTATTTGAATCACTAGACTCATGTTATCTCTGTGTGTCTGTGTGTGCGGTTAAAGAGGGGAGCAGAATGGATCGTAAGTTGCATGGAGACGTCCTCTAGGAGCAAATTATTGAGTTGATAGGCATTTTTGAATCTCGTAATCATCAGGTTTTCTTCAATCACATGATAATGTTGAAACCATATCTTGCAATGCACTGCTCAGGGTGGAGTTTAGTTCAGTTGAATTGGGAGAGGATAAAAAAAATTGTTTTTGACCAACCTGTAAAAAATTTATACTGATGTGAATGCTGATACATTTATATTCTGTTAGGTTGCCATTCTAAAACAAGAGTTGGAAAAGACAAAGGCTGCTTTGTACATATCAAACGGCAAATTGAGACTGAAAGAAGAACTAGCAGCTGCTGCAATGGCTGCCCAGGCAGCATCAGAGAAGTCTCTTCAATTGGCTGACAACAGGGCTGCGCAACTCCAAGAGCGGATTGAGGAGTTAACAAGACAATCAGAAGAAGCAGAAAAGAGGGAGCCGAGTAAACACCGAAGGATAAGGCATATTTGCTGGCCATGGCGAGCTCTTAAGCTCAACCCTGCTAATGGTACAAACATTAACATTCGAAATGTGAAACGAATGCTACCAGAAATGCAAGCCTTGCTTCATTCTAGTGTCTGACATCATATTCTCCAACCTTCATGTGATTATTTTCTCCTTGAATTGCTTATTTTCCTAATTATATATTATTTGTAATTCGTTTATTTTCGTGATTATATCTTCTTTTTTTGTGTTTACCCCACCGTTTTTTTCACGGTTATGTATCTGCAGGGCCTCTTAGCTAGCTTTGTCTTGGATACACTAAACAACGTTATTGTACATACAAAATGACAGCATTTTATGTGTAAAAAGGTATTGTTTTGAGGAACAACACCTCTGTTTAGCTTGTGCCTGCAATGCGTGGTAGCTAGTTAACGGTAATTTGATTGCCGGGATTTTTAAATTACACTCATCCTAGAATTTACAAACTTGGTCTAGAAATTCAACAAGATGTACAGTCAAGTCATTCTTAACACTTTGGTAAACAAATGACGGAACTGGTGTTGAAAGTGATACAGTTTGTTGGTAGACATAGGAAGACTAAAATTAATTTTACCTGAAAGAATAAAAAAAGATATAATAACTTATAGTTTGACAGAAAATATGGTTCTTAATAGACCACAATGACGAAATAAGCCGATTCTAAAAATATTGAGACATTAGTTTATTAAGTTCAGATTGGACTAATTGATACTACTCGAAAATTTGAGAGATTAAAGTGATCAAATTAAAAAAAAAAAATTGAGGGTTAAATTTATATAAAGTGCATTTCTTAAGGTTCTAATAATAATTTTTTGTAGGGCCGACTAACGTTCTGTAACAGTAATGGATTAGGCGTGTCAATAGAATGGAGTCTGTAACAGTAATGGATTAGGTGTGTCAATAGAATGGAGTCGGATGAGATTTTGTTCGACCCAAAATCAGCCCGATATAAAATTTTTTATCTCAATATTTAATAGATGTTATTATTATAGTTCATATTCAACCTAGATAAAAATTGAAAATGTGAGTTGATCATTAATAACTCACATAAAGCTAAACTTTACCAAATTATATTTGAATTTCAACTTAATTTTATCAATTAATAAGGGTAAAATTCTAGACATGGGCCACTAATAAGTCCAAAGCCCAAAAAGCCATGAGGAATTGGAGGAAAGTCCGTTGGCCCAAAATAAAGTGCCTCTGATTAATCCATAACAAAGAGCTGAAAGGGTAAGGCCTAATGGGCACCCGAGGGGCAGTGGTGCAATCCCAGCCCAATCAAGTGCTAGCTAAAGGGCAATCCGAAGAGAAGGAATCGGATCTTTACCTCATAGTCATCCTGTTGTGCCACGCGTCCAGAGGACTAGGGGACCATCTCTGAAACCTGTGATAGCTATATCCTCTTGCACGTAGAAGATGACGGAGCATAACGTCCTAGAGATTGTGGACACAATGGCGCCGGCTAGAAAAGGCTTTTGCAAGACAAGGACAAGAGGTCCCCACATGATCGTTAAAAGGTAGAAGAAACCGTCAGAAATCACAAAAAGGCATCCCATATATATATAGAATAGTGTCCTACAAGAAAGGAGAGACCTAGAGAACATAAAACAACCGTGAACTCCCAATAAGCTAAACACTATCTGTAAGGGCTCAGCGCCTAAATCCCGACTGTATACATCGGAGTTTCAATATATAGAATCAATGAGCAAAAGATTCTATTACAGTAAACATAACCTTGGTCAATCGGCTAAGGCGAACCACTTACCCTGCTACGTCTTCTCATTCAATAGATAATCTGATCTACCAAACTAACTCTCATACCAGACTCAATAACCTCGCATACGTTGGGCTTGAGCTGTGATTTTCGAGACCCCATTATCAATAATAACTCAATTCTATTAGGAGGAATCGCACTTTGCACCCTAAAAAAATTTAAGAATTCTCATTTTTTATTTTCAAAGATTAATTTTCACACATTACACCGTCAACGTATCAAAAGTTTTACAATGTGGTCATTTTCTTAGATTCTGTTATTTTTTTCATTAGTGTTGAAGAGGTTTTTGACGAAAAAAATAACAGAAAGTAACAGAAGATCAACAGTGTTAAAAGTGTTGTAATGTAAAAAAATTTATCTCTAGGGGTACAAAATGAGAACTTTTAAATCTTTTATTATATAATCATACACATGTAACTCAGATTTAAGTTATAATTAATTAGATATTTTAAATATATAATATAAATCAATAAAAAATACCAATTTATATAATAATAATAAAATTCAGAATAAAATTCAATCAATTGATAAATAATGAGAAATGTTTTGCTTTTCAAATTTTTATGTCAAATCAATAAGGATAGTTGAATTAGTGGATCCTATCAGAAAAAGTTATTAGAATCCACTAACCTAACCACCCTTATTAATTTGGGATGTAAATTTAGGATATAAATTTAGATTGTGCAGCATTATTCATAGGTAATAGAATTGGTTTCTAAACTTGGGGACCCCCAATTCTGGTTAGGACCAGATGGGCTAACTCATTGTAACGGGTTTGGGCTAGCAAACAACCCATGTTCCAAATGCCAATCTAAATCAGCCGCCAGCCCAAAAAAACCATGTCTGCTACTGAATATTCTGTTCTAGGGCTGCTGCGTCGTGGGCGTTTGGGCTTTGGCGAGAAATGGAACAGAAGGGAGAGAACAAGAATGTGAAGAAGATAATGTCACCATGTGATGTGGAGGCTCTCAGGAAATGCTTAGAAGAAAATAAAGGAGACTATGTGAAATGCCAAGCACAAATTGAAGCTTTCAAGTCTTCATGTTCTTTGAAAAAGCCAAATTTGCCTATAGAATCCACGACGAAGTTCAACTCTGGTGTGGTTTTTGATCTTTGAATCTGTTGTTCTTGAAATTTGTACGCTAACCCTTTTGCAGTCTTGCTCTATATATGTATACGAATTTGAATTTATAGCAAGTTCAATCACGTTTTTTTCTGTCCAAGAAGACTAATCTTTAAGTTTGCTCCATTATAACATGGAGGTCACGGTTTTGAGTCGTGGAAATATTCTCTTTCATTACGGGATATGGTACATCTAACCCTTTTCTGATTCCGCAATGGTGGAAGCTTCATGCAAAAGATATGCCTTTTTTTTAAGATTAAACTTTGTCTCAGTATGTAACCCATTTGCCTGTTTAACAAATTAGTTTTGGTGGCATTATATTGCAATCGAATGTTTTGAGATTTTTTTGTTAGGGTTGTAATGTGGTGTAGAAGAGACTTTCAATTCAAGTCTCACAAATTTACATATAAATGCAAGGATGTGTAGTAGGGGAATCAATCACTCCAAAACGGTAGGATAGTGCACCAAGTACAACCGCATCCATAAAAATGTGGTGTTATCAGTGAGTTTGCATCTAGTACATCATTTGGTAACTTGAGAATGTGAATCCAAAAGTTAACCTCAAGAAATTATTAGCTTGATGGATTTTAGGCGACGTGTCAGGTAGTGGCGTAGTGCCCAAGGATACATTATAAATATTGCATTGTTTCCAGTTTCTTGTTGAAGTTTCTGCTTGCTGCTAGTTTTCTGAATGACCTCTGTTTTGTCGACACGATTTTTTCTCAAAAGCAATCCTACCGGTAATTGTTGATCACCTGCCTCTACTCTCCTTAGAGTGACCCTGTGAGGGATAGAAAGAGGGAGAAGTTTAAAGTGATGGGCACATAGGATCTAGAACTGTGATTGCCTACTTCAGGGGCAATAGTGGTGAACACGTGATATTGTGGGTTGGACTCTAAGTGCCATCACTTTGGGAAAAACTGTCAAATGTCATGTTACCTTGTAACATACAATGGAATATAGTGGGAAACAGAAGTAAGTGCAAGGTAGAGGAATATATTTTTCAAAGTGGGAATCTTTGAGTGAGTTAATTTTACTCAATAACTATATGGATTCTACATTTAGAAGCAATTTGTTGATCCATACTCAAGGTTTTAGGGCTTATCCTTTGTTGCCATTAATATAGGTATATGATCAGCCCATCCAAGTCATTTTAGGGATGCTGTTGATGTTGAAATTATTTGATGAGCTTCCGCACCAGCTCGAAGAGATCTCAATTGACTTCAATTTTTGTTTAAAACAATGGTAGTTAATGGTCAAAACGTATTATAGCATGCACAATTAGTTTCACTGGGTGGCTGCTAGTGTAATCAGGTGTTGCTGATTCATGTCTGCCTTTATGGCAATCAGTATGAAGACACTATGTCTTAGTTTCACATGCTAGCTGTCTGAGCATTGGGTACCAAGTATGTCTATTGTGGGGAAAAAGAAATGAGGTTAGTCAGGACTCAGGTAGCACCGTAGCAGAGACATACTATGCTACAACTAAAACACAGAACTTGTTAAAATGTATAGGCGGGTAAACTTGAAGTATAAATTTTATTTTCACTGTTGTAATTGACAAGAAGCAGACGAAATAAATTGAGAAGAAATGGTACTCGGGCGCCAAGTATGATCATTTCTGCCGAGTGCTAGGGAACTAAACCAACCTGAGTGTAGGAATATGTTGGACTTTGTGACGATCCACCCCTTGAAGCCTATCGATGAATGCCTTCTGCATCTCTTTGATCTCTAACTCTTGGAGAGTAGTTACACATTTAATCTCTTCTGGAAGCGTACTCAGCTTCCTGCAATTGCAAATCCGGAAACATTGAAGCCTTTGCATTGCACCTTCTTCTATTTTCAACTCCTCCAAGAATTCTAAGAAGTCAAACTCTAAGAACTTGAGTTGAGGAAACCCATTGGCAGAAATTGCCAATTTACTTCCTTTAAAAGAATATGCTTTTAATTTGAGAATCAATAATTTAGGCAGTTTCTCCAGTATTTCCATTGGATCCTGAATCAAGAACGAATGATTCAAGGTTAACTGGCAGAGATTTGGTGGAAATTCACGTGGGATGGGTAAATTTCTTATTCCTCCTCTCATATGCAACTTAGTGAGAAAACGAAGATGAGAAAATGCAGTGAGACTTGGAAACACAACATCATCAGTTTGCAGGAACAGCGACTGAAGGCGTGGAAGCAGAGCAAAGGAGGGAATGATTTCATGTGCGTGTGAGGCGAAACTTCCTTTTATTCCCAGTTTCCACAGGTTAGTTAACTTCACTGGGTTGTTTTCCATCCAGTTTCTAACATGTATAACTGATAATGTCTGCAGATGCTGTAGCGTGTCAACTCGGAGCTGCTCGTTGTATCTAGGCCCACACATGTAAAGATGCCGTAAAGCTTCCATCTTCCATATCACATTTGGCACAATTTGAAGATTAACATTTGCAGCTACATCCAGAGTCTGTAGGCAATGCAAAGAACCTAAGGTTGATGGAAGCGCATGTATATTGGTACGCCTCAAGCCTATGTACTTCAAGTGAATCAGTTCTCCCACCCCATCTGGCACGCAGTCTATCCTTATATCCTCTAAATCTAGTACCCTAAGTAGTTTAAAATTTTTGCAGACAAAATTTAGCTCTTTTATCCTACGATTTTCAACATCAAGTCTAAAGAAAAAGAGAGAGCGGAGAAGTTTAGTTGAATGGCTCAAGGAGGCATACCAATCAAAGTTAGAGTAGATGGCATGACGACGGGAACTAGATGAAGGAAGAGAACTGAGGTTCCCATGAATTTCGAAAAAGTTCTCAGCCTTTGCCTTTGAAATGGAGAGCTTCCGCAGTAAATCATGGACACGGCACTCTTTGACCCTCTCAGTCCGACTCATTCTGGCTACTTGAACCATATTTCTATCAATCAGCTCGTTCAGATAATCCTCTGCCACGTCCTCCATCCTTTCTCCTCGTTGTTGTGGAATCAAACCCTCTGCAACCAATAGTCGGACCAGTTTGCGTGTGCGGATTAAATGATCTTCCGGAAAATGTCCCATATAGAGAAAACACCATTTCAAGTGTTGTGGCAAATCCTTGTAACTTAAAGCTAAAATTGCTTCTACCCCATTAATGTTCCTGGCAAAATGGGCATGGATGTTGCTGAGAATCCTCTCCCATTCGTTCAAGTTTCTTTTTCTTGACACCAAGCCACCCAACACGATGATTGCCAAAGGTAAACCATCACATTTTCCCACGATTTCTCTCCCAGTTTCCTCTAGTTCTGGTGGGCAACTTTTGTTCAAGTTGTCAGTGAATGCTTTTCGGCAAAACAACTCCCAACTATCCTCTTCGTTCAGAAGCTGCAGTTCGTGAGGAAACGTTCTGGCATCTGCATAGAGAGCAACACTCTTGTTGCGAGATGTGATCATCAATCTACTTCCGTTCCCTCTATTCGGAAACACCTTTGCCAGACAATCCCAAGCTTCAGTGCTCCACATATCATCCAAAACCACCAGATAGCGCTTCGTCAGTAAGTATTTGTAGAGCATTTCCTCCAAATCTTCCTCCACTAAGTTTTCCCAATTTTGGCTTGTTGCAACTTGCTTTAAAAGTCCCTGAAGTATATCCCTGGTCCTGAACTGTTGTGACACATAAACCCAAGCCTGACAGTTAAAACGACATCTCACATCGCCATGATTATAGACCCTCTTGGCGAGTGTTGTCTTGCCAATGCCTCCCATTCCAACAATGGAAAATGCTCGCCACTGACTCTCCTTTCTGACAAGTTGTGCCACCAGCCTGGCTGTGTCTTCATCCAGACCAACAATATTCTTTTCCTCCCCAGGAGATGATTGCCGCAGATTCTGCAACTTTTCGCTTGCACGACTTGTACCCTGTCCAAAATTTGATATACCATAAGTTTCGCAACTGACAGAGATGTTGTGGATTCTCATTTCAATGGCCTCGAGTTCCTCTTTCACCTTAGCACGGTAGGTCCATTCTTTGATACTGGAAAATTTACTCGCAAGGAATTTTCTTCTTTTGTGTATCTCCATTCTGAGGAGGAACGAATCAATGAGGTCGTCAGCATCATAAGCAGCATTACTGATGTCAGAGATCCAGTTGTGCACCCTCTTATCGTCTTCTTGCTTGTCATCTGCGTCTTTAAGAAAGCACTGCATTCGTTTGAGTTCAGCTTGCAGGCGGTCCACTATTCGGTGAACATCTTTGTGCGTCCTGATTTGATTGAGCACATCAGCAAGCCTATTGGCAACAAAGGAAATGGCGAACGCAGCCATGATATGCTACTCACTTCTCTTTCTTTGATTTTCTTCTTGAAAGATGGCTCGAGGGAGTTATAACCGTGCCTAATCTTTTCCCAGCGTCTAAACCAAAACCCAGGTCACACTTTCCTGGAAACTGAGAGGAGGCTTGGAAATTCCCAGTTCCTAAAGCTTACACCTCAAGCCCAGATCACACAATCCTGGAAACTGAAGAGGAAGCTTGGAGGAATTTTCAAACCAGTGTCTCAGCATGGAAAAGTAGAGGAGCCAACGATTCAACTTGCTGCTTTTTGAACCGTGTTAATTTCCATCCACTTGAGTGTGTCTGACTTTGATATAGAAGTGTGTGTGAACACAGGAAAAGTCAGTTGTCGTGTGCAGACAAGAAGAAATGGCAGTCATGGAAATAAACTTGTGTGGGAGCTTGATGGTACTGGACATCCGTTGGTATGTAACAAAATTTTTAGTTAAATGTTTGATAGAGGGTACTTGGCAATTGCTTAATAATAAGGGCAAATTATGAATTGCCTCCTTGTGCTTTGTTATTATAACACATCACCCCCTTAAATTTTGAAAACCTACACATAACCCCCTCTGGTTTTGGACTGAACAGTAACCGTTAGGTTTTCCATCCAAACGAATGGGATATGTTAAAATGACTTTTTTACCCTTCATTAAATACCCTTTATTCCTTATTTGGATTAGATTAACCCTTTTTGTTTTTAATTGAACAAACTTACACCTATAACCAAACAAACAGCTCGCGCACGGGACACACATGAATGCAACACATATAAGACCCACACACACAACTGAAGATTATACAATAGGAAGACACCATTGAATATATGCTCTACAAGATGGTACTATTTTTCAACACAATTATTGAATAATAAATTACTCAAACTTAATATATTTTGTCATCATGTGTGTATTTTTTGTGTATTTAAAAAAATAATTGAATAAAAAGGGATTCAGATTAAAAAAAGATCTTGAGTTTAAGTTTATAAAAAATTATAATTTATAAAAATTAGGTAATAAATAATTAATCAATCAATTGATTTTAATTATAATAAATTAAAAATATTATTTGAGAAGATAACTCATTGCAACACTGGTTAAAATTGTGTGCGCGCTCCTCTTATATGTATCCAGGAAAACTCATGCACAGACATCAACCATTAAGGAAACACAAGAAGTGAAGTTGTGTTACTTGTCTTCCACGCAAGTCAAGATGCATTTGACAGTGACAACTTTTTGGACAAAAGGGTATCTTGGGCATTAAAATTATCAATTTTGATGGGAAGCATCTCCCAACTTCATTTCCAGGCACGTGGTTGTCATTCCTGTGAATTGGGGTATAAAATTAAACGTTTTCACATTGGTCCAAAACATTAGAGATTGTTTGATAAGAGTGTATGGGGTTTTTTTCTTTTTGATAATTAAAAAAGGGGTGGCGTTTGACAAGATGGATTTGGGGAAAATATTTCAATGGATCTCTAAATTCTATGTTTGGATTGAAAATTCAATTCTAAGTTTTCAAATTCAACCTATAACTTACCCGAATATTAAAATCATAATGGGTTTCATCGAACCTAAGGGGATGAGTTTGATAAGATGGATTAAGAGATTAAGGATGCAAAAAATAATTGTAATTCTTAACATAAGTATGAATTGGATTGATAAGAGTAAAATAGTCATTTATATGATAAATAATTGCTAATAATTACGATATATTCGTGGATCTTCTATGTGTACGTATTGCATATGAAATATGAGTATAAACTGAATTCAATATTAAATTCTATGTTTATAAAGAGGGATTTGAGTTTGGAAGAGTTTGTAGAAGTCAATCCAAACTCTCCTCAAAAAATCCATTCAAGCAAATCCTAGGGGATTATGTGTAGGTTTTAAAACTATAAGGAGGTAATGTCTAAACATGACAAACTACAAGGGGTAATCCATAATTTACCCTAATAATAAACACTCGATGGATTTTCTTTGTATCCTCTCCGTATTTTTGCTCCTTTTTTATTGTGAATTTGGTGCAAATCTGTTAATTTTTTTTTTATTTTTTAAAATTTGTTCTTGTGTGTGTAGTTTCTTTGTAATTCGGATGTCATATCATACCAATCCAGGGAAGTTAAGTCTTGAGTCTCGACAAGTCTACAATACACTTTCCTGGAAACTTAGGAGGAAGCTAGGAGGATAGGAATCTTCGAACAACGCGGTTTCCAATAGTATTCTCTACCCCAGCATGGAAAGAATATGGACCAACAATGCTTTTAGCTTTTACTTTCCAATACTAGTATTCTCTACCCCAGCTAGGAGGATAGGGATCAGATATGCCTTTACTTTCCACTTGATTTTACCTTTTATTCTTTCTTAAGAAATGGATCTCTGAGCGGAGAAAATATTGGACGTCACCGTTCACTAATAAAATAACAAATGAACAAGTAAATTTTACACAATTAAATAATCACTCATCTATGTCAATTTTTTTTTTTTTTTTTGAGAGAGGAGAAGGAGAAAGGGGGCTTAAACTCTTAAATTTAAGAAGACAAAACCTTCAGAAAATAAAGAGTATCATTAGCCAAAGACCTATTAATTCATCTATGTCATGTAATATCTATTCCCACAAAGAAAAGTGAGGTCCACTTTGTTCATTTGGTTTTTTTCTCATTAGATGGTTATACTATGTCATCGTAATGACATGGTGTAACTTTAACACCCAATATTTACTCCTATGAGTGAACTATAGTAGTGTTACTCTTGAGGGGGAGGGGGGGGGGACTGGAATTTTGTGGTGGTATAGCTTATATCATGTGTTGTTTTAAATATACAAAAGCAAACGAAAAAAGGAAAGAAAATAAAGCAAAATTCAACAGAAGATAAAAAAAAAAACAGATACACGCCTGTTTTTGAAAAATAATGAATGACTAATGTCCACTAGGTTTTAAGAATGACTAAATTGGAATGGAATACATTAAATTGGAATTAATTATAAAAAAAAATATAAAATAAGGAAGCCCTTAATTTTAGTTTTTAATTGTGTCCCGGTATATAATTTTAAATTTTTGGATTTTTCTTTGACATTTGTGTCCTCCCTTAAATCATGCGATTATTTTTGGAAATTATTTTTTTTTTCAACTTATACTTATGCATTAAAAATCTCCTAATTTAATGAAAAATTTGATTCTTCCGTTTATTTTGAGGATATATCAATTGGTTAGAATTTTAAATTTTGTAACAGTATCATATGTTGTTTTCTTCTTCTTAAGCATGGAAGCAATTTATCGGTGCAAGTCCAAAACATTATTTCATCCTTATTATTTAATCTAAGTCATTACAAGGTTTGAATTCATGACTCCGTTAAGTTTATGTCTGTCATTTTAAAAATGATTACACTATTTTTTAATATGTGAGCATCATAACCAAAGTTCATCCTATATATGTGTTTACAGTGTAACAATAACAAAATATAAAAAATTACTTACACAAAATACTGTACTGTTATATTTTGTCAAACATATATTTTTATATAACTTCATTGTAACAATTCAATTTTGTTTTGAATTTGTTATCACATCCACAAAACCATTGAACATTGTATGTTTTACAGTGTTATACTATATTATTACACTGTCTTTGTTATACTATGCAAAAAATATAAAAGAACTTACATCTATAATGGCGGATCAGTATGATTTTCCTTTCAAAGACAAAATCCTGTAGAAGTTCAAGGAACGATTTAAGGCTTCTCGTCGAGGAAGATGAAATAATTTTTGTATAGGAAGAAAAAGAGATAACCGTAAAGATGAAGTTTTTCACAAATTAATGTTCTTAAAATTCAACGGTTAAGTTTTATCACTGTATATTTAATTAATTTAAAATATATTCCTAAAACCGTTTTTAAGAAAATAATGTTCCTAAAATATAATGATTAAGTCTTATCACTATATACCTAATTAATTTTAAGAAATATTCCTAAAATAGTTTTTAGGAAAGCAAATTTTAGAAAATGGGCAATTAAATCTTTGTATCTTAATAATATACTTTTTTACAACATATTTTTTTCTGTATATTTTTTTACAATTATGCTTAATTTAATATACCAGCTTCTAAACGACCCGGTTAAAAATTCGACAGCCCGTGAGCGGCAAGTTGCACAACAAGGCGGAGTGAAACAGTAGAGTAAACTACTGGGCCCTTGAATAACCCGTGAACACAACAAAGTGGACAGGCTTTAAGCCCAACTAATGCGGCATAGTATCACGGAAGGCCCGTGAAACAGTAAAGTACGCTACCGGGCCCCTTCGATCCACCATGGGCAAAATAATCTTTTGAACCATGTAACGATAATACAGTACTCTACGTCTTAACCTTTCTTTCAAAAACCCTAGCTCTGCTTCTCGATCGCCCGTCCTCAGATTTTCGCATCGCAGACCCAAAGGTATCGATCGAGAGTTAAACAATTTATTTGCAGTGATATTTGATTCTTCTGCTGTTTTGTTCTGCGAATTATGTTCTCATTTGACCTTCAATTTCTGGTGTATTTTTGTGTCTGGAGTAGTCCCTTACGAGTTTTTATGTTTTGATGGAGTATTCATCGAAACCAACAATGTTTACATATTGAAAATTCATCTTAGTCTCGTCGTTGAATGCATATATGTATGTTTTTTTTTTTTATCAATTTATGTTTATATATATGTGTGCGTTGATGTACGACGAAAATATCAGAAGTAATTCTTGTAAATCTGTATGCATTTTACATATACTGCATCTTTGTATTGACGAAGCGAGTGATGGATTCGATATAACAATCAACTACTGATTTGTCTAACACCAGTTTTTGATTGCTTATCTCAGTTTCTCCTTCACCCACCCATGGTTTTACAGTGGAGATAGTGAGGGCACCTGTCCACTGTAATTCTAAAAACTTTTGCGGTTAGTTTAAAATACTGAGAAACTTAACATTTTTTTATGACTTGTCCCTGAATTGGTAAAAACATTCAGGGGTATTTTATGTTTTATAAAATAAGTGGCATTTCTTTTATAAATTTAAAAAATTATAATTATTGTATGACTCGATCTCGCAGTTCTCTTTAGTCTCTCCTAGGTCTCCGGTTGCTTCTTTTCCCTGTACAACGGCACATCAACTCACAAACTAACTAATTTATAACTGAGTTTTTGGTTGCCCACACTGCAAAAAAAAATCCTATCTCCATCCTTGCTCTCACCCCTGGAGAGGTGTAGAAAGAGGAAATTAAGGGCAGGCATATAAATGCAAAAGCTATATGTTTGTTTCTTTGGCATTAATAATAATCGTAATTACATGGAACATAATTATACATCATTCAATTTTTGATAATATGTGTTAAGTAATAGGTACTTGTGTTGTAGCTGGTTATTGTTAAACAAGAAATACAAATGGGAAAGAAGTCTGTATATGTTAATAATTGTTTTCCGTTTGATATGTTATCAGACTCACATTTTACATCGGGCTATAATTACAGCCGGTGATGGCCTTCAAACAGCCAAATACTGGCCTTTTTGTAGGACTGAACAAAGGACATGTCGTGACCAAGAAGGAATTGGCTCCTCGTCCCTCGAATAGGAAAGGCGTAAGTTGATTTTGTACCTGCAATTCATTCTTGTTTGCCTCCGCATGCTTTTAACTTGCCAAGTCTCTTTTTCTATATATTCTGTACATATATAGCTCCTCGTCATTGGGCCTCAAGTTTTCTCGTCATTTCTTGTGTTGATCACTGGAAAAGAGCCCATTGCTTGCGCCTTTATTTTGGGTAATTAATGTAATGTGTTGTTTCTATTGAATTTTTTGACAACTAAAGTAACTAGTTTCTGCTTTAAAACTTGTTTGTGGCCCAATTGTTGATGTGATTTAGAAAACTAGCAAAAGAATCCACTTGGTGAGGAACCTGATCAGGGAGGTTGCTGGGTTTGCGCCATATGAGAAGAGGATTACCGAGCTTCTTAAAGTTGGGAAGGACAAGCGTGCTTTGAAAGTAGCAAAGAGAAAATTGGGCACTCACAAGAGAGCAAAGAAGAAGAGAGAAGAGATGTCTAATGTTCTTCGCAAGATGAGGTAATTTTCTTAAATGTCTACTATTCTCCTCATTTCCAAAATGTTAGCAGAAAGGAAAATGCAGCCAAACTTAAGTTTTAATTCCTGCTTTCTGTAATCTATTGAGAAGTTCCAAATGCATAATCGTAAGATTTGTTTCACCTTGAAAAATAAAATTGAGTTTCACAAGTTGAAATACGTACTCACCAACTCCCATTTGGGTGAATGTTTGCAGATCCGGTGGAGGTGGTGAGAAGAAGAAGTGAAGAATGGTTTTCCTTGCTGCTGCTATTCTTTTTATTGGAAACTTTAGTAGTTAAAAATGTTTGTTTAGCTTTACCATGTTTTTTTTGGAGACTAAGTTTATGATCAGACTCGTTTTGTTTCAGTAAAGAAAAACTTCGGCAAATTATGTCTCGTTGTTTCCTATATTGATTTTGTGAGATCAGATTATCTGTTATGTAACTTACCTATCATAGTGCAGCAAAATGGTCTTTTAAAACCCTTTTTGCCACTGAAAATTGATCGTATGGGGTTGCATTTGGAGTGGCTTTTAACTCTATGGCTTGTGATTCTCAAGTTTGATCAATACGAGTGGTTAATAGATAGGTGTCTGGAATTTATTCTACAGTGGTGGATCTGATTTCATCACAATGATTCCTCATAAAAACATGATCAAAGAATTCTTTTGGAAAAATTGTAGTTACATTTTTTTTAGTTTATTATATGATCAAGGCATTTCCTCTATTATTAAAAATATCTTTGGCACTTTTTTTAGTTTATATATAAACATTACCAACATTTCCTGTTATTAATCCACCATTTTTGACAAAAAATACCAAAAATATATTTTTTTACATAAAATTAGATTAAAATTTGAGTCGATTAAATTTTTTTTTATATATTAAAATTTGAGTTGATTAAAAAATTTTTTTTTTTACATATTAAAATTCCTTTTTTAAGTATTAAAATTCAAGGCGATTTGAGCTCTACCTGAGAAGTTAGTACTGATTAAAATTCGTTTCGAGTTGATTAAAATTTATATTTTTTTATTTATTAAAATTCGTGTCAATTAAAATTCTATTTAAGTTGATTAAATTTTTTTATGCATTAAAATTTGAGTCGATTAAAATTTATATTTTTTTATGTATCAAAATTCACACCGATTAAAATTCAACGCGAGTTGATTAAAATTTGATTTAAAAATAATTAAAAATATTTTTTAATTAGCTCAAATAGAATTTTAATTGATTCAAATTTTAATATATAAAAAAATATAATTTTTAATTGGCTTGAATTTTAATACGTAAAAAATAAATTTTAATTAACTTGAATCAAATTTTAATCGACCCAAATTTTAATACATAAAAAAATTTAGAAAACAAAAAAAGTCGCATTGAATAAATGTCTATCTTAAAGGGTTGTGGATCAAATTTTTCCTCAAATATATCATGGACACTTTAGTAAAATTACATTCTAGTTAACACCTTTAATGGAGTGTCAATAAAAATTCAAAAAATAGAGAAATATTCTTGAAGATATGATAAATTAGAAAAGGTGTGATTGAAATTCTTTTTTATGAAGGCTGGTAATGACTGAAAGTATAAATATTCACTGATGTCATAAAACCGCATTTATCATCATTCACAATTGGTCTAGGACAAATGCAGACTGGTACAAAATAGGAAAAGGCCGAAATGAAATATAATACATCTCAAGCTTCTCAGCAGCAATCAGTTGCCGAACAAGATATTATTAGTGAAACTAGTAAAAAGTTGCAGGAACAATAGAGAGGAATAGTTCATGTCTTGAACTTCTGAGTGAGTTTCTCAACTCCTTCCCTGCAATCTCCTGCGACCCTCTTCGCCCCTTCTCTAATGGACAAGGTAAATTCAGATGAGCTCTGCTGCAAGTCCTTTAACGAGCCGGCTACCTTGGACATGGCAGCATCTTTTAGCTCACCTGTCCGCTTTCCAGCGTCTAAAGCTACCTTGGACATGGCAGCATCTTTTAACTCACCTGTCCGCTTGGCAACGTCTAAAGTCCACTCCTTCAAGCTAAATATCAAGAAGAGTATCTTCTGGATGACCTTATCAATTGTATCTCTTGATTTTCCCCTCACATCAGCAGCCATTGCCTTCAGCTTGTCTGCCAAGTTCTCGGCCCTGCTGACTGTTCCTTCAACTGAAAACTCCTTTCCAGCAGTGAGCCATGTAACCCCAGCATTCTCTTCTTCACGCAAGTCATCATCCACGNTTTTAGTTTATTATATGATCAAGGCATTTCCTCTATTATTAAAAATATCTTTGGCACTTTTTTTAGTTTATATATAAACATTACCAACATTTCCTGTTATTAATCCACCATTTTTGACAAAAAATACCAAAAATATATTTTTTTACATAAAATTAGATTAAAATTTGAGTCGATTAAATTTTTTTTTATATATTAAAATTTGAGTTGATTAAAAAATTTTTTTTTTTACATATTAAAATTCCTTTTTTAAGTATTAAAATTCAAGGCGATTTGAGCTCTACCTGAGAAGTTAGTACTGATTAAAATTCGTTTCGAGTTGATTAAAATTTATATTTTTTTATTTATTAAAATTCGTGTCAATTAAAATTCTATTTAAGTTGATTAAATTTTTTTATGCATTAAAATTTGAGTCGATTAAAATTTATATTTTTTTATGTATCAAAATTCACACCGATTAAAATTCAACGCGAGTTGATTAAAATTTGATTTAAAAATAATTAAAAATATTTTTTAATTAGCTCAAATAGAATTTTAATTGATTCAAATTTTAATATATAAAAAAATATAATTTTTAATTGGCTTGAATTTTAATACGTAAAAAATAAATTTTAATTAACTTGAATCAAATTTTAATCGACCCAAATTTTAATACATAAAAAAATTTAGAAAACAAAAAAAGTCGCATTGAATAAATGTCTATCTTAAAGGGTTGTGGATCAAATTTTTCCTCAAATATATCATGGACACTTTAGTAAAATTACATTCTAGTTAACACCTTTAATGGAGTGTCAATAAAAATTCAAAAAATAGAGAAATATTCTTGAAGATATGATAAATTAGAAAAGGTGTGATTGAAATTCTTTTTTATGAAGGCTGGTAATGACTGAAAGTATAAATATTCACTGATGTCATAAAACCGCATTTATCATCATTCACAATTGGTCTAGGACAAATGCAGACTGGTACAAAATAGGAAAAGGCCGAAATGAAATATAATACATCTCAAGCTTCTCAGCAGCAATCAGTTGCCGAACAAGATATTATTAGTGAAACTAGTAAAAAGTTGCAGGAACAATAGAGAGGAATAGTTCATGTCTTGAACTTCTGAGTGAGTTTCTCAACTCCTTCCCTGCAATCTCCTGCGACCCTCTTCGCCCCTTCTCTAATGGACAAGGTAAATTCAGATGAGCTCTGCTGCAAGTCCTTTAACGAGCCGGCTACCTTGGACATGGCAGCATCTTTTAGCTCACCTGTCCGCTTTCCAGCGTCTAAAGCTACCTTGGACATGGCAGCATCTTTTAACTCACCTGTCCGCTTGGCAACGTCTAAAGTCCACTCCTTCAAGCTAAATATCAAGAAGAGTATCTTCTGGATGACCTTATCAATTGTATCTCTTGATTTTCCCCTCACATCAGCAGCCATTGCCTTCAGCTTGTCTGCCAAGTTCTCGGCCCTGCTGACTGTTCCTTCAACTGAAAACTCCTTTCCAGCAGTGAGCCATGTAACCCCAGCATTCTCTTCTTCACGCAAGTCATCATCCACGACCACTTTGATGCCGTGCCTCTCCCAATGATATCTAGCCTCCTCCAAGACTTTTGCTTGCTCTCTTGCTCTTTTTGCCTCATCTTCAGCCCAAGCCCTAGTTGACAAGATCGAAATAAACATTAATGTTAGAATGAATATCTGAGCAGTTAAAAAGCTATGGTTTCAAGCATTAAGTCATGCCAATAATATCATCCAAAGGTCTAGGGAAATGATTCCACAGATCATATTATATTCTACATATCTCAATTGATTTTAAACAGTGACATGCAAGCCAGTAGCTCCACTATATCCATGGTTACATGAGCAAATTTCATAAAACAAAGTTTCTTTTTAATGGTAATGTTGATTGTGCATACCGCAGTATATTAGGCAATTAAATGTTCAAGTTGATCATGCATAATACAATAGAGTACTCTATTAATGGTTAAATTGACTGCATACTGCAGTAAATTAGGCAATTAAATGTTCCACTGGATTGTGCATTATATAGTTAATGCCAAAAACATGAGTAAATATGTTTAGGTGAAAATATGTAGTCTTAGTAGAGTGCGCCTAAATCAGAAACATGACGTGGCCAAAGAGCCCTGAGGAGTTCAGAGATTCTGTTCTTTTCAGGTTTTACAATAACGTCACATTCATGTAAAACATTAACATGATGTCACTACCCTCTCTACATTAATATCCTATGGGTGTATCATTTTTGTGTGAGAGATCCCTTGGCGTCATCATTCAACACTAGCCATGTATGGTTTACCAACTACACGCATTAACAATGTAAAGATAATTACTACTTTCTTACCTGGCCATGGACAAGGCTTTTCGCTCAACCTCCAGCTCGTATTGTAACCTGGTAATCTCCTGGTTCTCGATTTCTGCATCTTTCCGAAGCTTGCTAACTTTTTCTTTGTCATAGGATATTGCAACTTTGTCACTCATAAGGGTCTGCAACTGGTCTTCCACCTCATGCCTTAACCTCGAAAGAACTTCCATCTCTGACTCGACAGCAGCACGTTCTCTCATTAAAGCAATATTCTCTTCCTCTCGCGCAGCTCTTAACCTCTCCAATTCTTGCCTTGCCTCCTCAGCCAATTTCTGTACGGCATCAATCTTTTCCTTTTCCATTGAGAGCTCCTTCTGGAAATTTGCATTGACATCCTTCTCAACTTGAGCTACTAGAGCACTATGTGCAGCAACGGCTTTTTCTGCTATAGACTCTGCTTCAATACGTGCAAGTTCCTCACTAACTATGTCTGCAGCCTCACCAGTGGCAAGAGCAATAGCAGCTTGGGCTTTTGTCACGGGCTTATCAGGCTGGAACATTCTTGTATATCCTGTCGTGATCATACCAAATCATTCTAACTTCATACACAAAAGAAATTTCTGTGAGAAGTTGACAAAAAAGAAATACAACTCACCAAATGCAAGGGCTATTATCCCCTGTTCTCCTGCTGATAAGTCAGCCACGAGTGCTGGCCATGCATCTGGGTTGATCTTATCAATGTCTATGAAACCAGAAACTTCTTGTAGGATCTGTCCATGGGCACAACGGTCATTGAACTCAAAATTTATCAGTTAGGTTCATAACTATATTTGACAAGTAGATGAATCATGAAAAATTAACATTCTTCAGTTTTTATGTAACCTTTCTGTCAGCAACAGGAAGCTGTCTTTTCTCTATGGCCATTTTCCAACTCACAAGATCCTGACGCGATAGACGACTGCAAATGAATAATTATAAAATAAATAAAAGAGAAATCAACCCCACCCCCTCCCCCAAGAGAAGAGCTTAATGTAGTAACTTGGCCCAACTCTCAGGTACCAACAAGCAATAAGATTGTGTGTACAACAATATTGTGAAAAAAAATATATTAAAATTGAAGACTGGTGAGTGAAATAGAGAAACATTAAAGAGCACACCAACATAAAACCAACAAAAAAAATATTATTACAATAGTTGTTTGACGATAGCTTAGATGAGAATAAAAGAAGAAGATTTTTTAATTGTATCATAGTAACCAGTCACAAATAGATTTTCCATAGCAGATAAGCAGGACATTGACATTGAAGAAGACAATTTCCCAATAGAAGCACAATAAATCAAATTTTGGAGAGTAGTATAGTTTACCTATCAGGAGAGAAGCAGAGAGGACTTGTGTCTTCATCTAATGAAGGTTGCAAATCATGTCTTGAGAGCTTGCTTGAAATTAATCCAGCTTCAGCCAACCCTGAAATATCCAGCTGATTCAGAAACCACACATGAAACAAAACAGAGATCACATGGTAACAGGGAAACATTTTAATGAACACTTTGAAATCCTATTGTCACCTTGAATGGATGGGAAGTCGGGATCTTCGGGTGTAATATCATCAAATGCAAGATCTGTGACATTCTCTATATACATTGCAGGGTACACTTTTGAAACTGTGTTCCTACATGAAATTGATTGGAATTGTAATCCCATACCCAGTTATGTAATGTCAGTGTAGTTTGAGTTCAAATGCTATGCTTAAGACCATCATTATCTGAGTCATGCAAAATGAGATATGTATACCTTGAAAGAGCACTGCTAGCTGAAACCAACCAACGAGCATATTCACGACGAGTACATAGATCACCAGGTTGAACATCGGCTTCAATAACCTGGAGAGATTAAAGATACATAAATTCCAAATGGTGACTTTCATACCATCTTTACAGGTTAAATGACCAGATCCTTGACGGATGACAAGTTGAGTATTTTTTACTATGAAAAACACAACCGAACTTGAGGAGCCTCTAGAATTTAAATATTGCAGGAATGAGAATAAAATACCTTCAAAACTTGCAATGCTGCTAGTGCCTGTCCCTGAACTTGATCGACAACAGCAGGAACCAAAACTTTTCCAGGAAACACCTTTCCAGCTGCAGAAACTACAGATGGAGCAGGTATGCCAGCAGAAGAAAAGAAATTCCCAGAATTCATAGAGTGAAAAAATGATCTGGTTCCATGAATTTCGTTATAACCATTTCCATCTTGTTCATCTGCAAATGGATATGCTGACACTGAAATTGTTCCAGATAAACCACCTCCATTTAGATCACGCACTTCCAGAGATGGCTTGTTTCCCTCTGTTGAGACCTCTGGCACTTTACCCAGATCAAAATCTTTGGTTGAAAGAGAACTTACAGTTTCTGTATCCTGTTCATGCAAATTCGTGGGTTCTAAAAGTGCATCTGACTGTGGATTGACTGAGGTAGTGAAAGCTAACGGCCCACTGGAAGCAAGGACCATAGAACTGGAATGTGAATCCTTCGAAAAGACGGAATTTTCTGTTTCCCTTGAGTCAGTCACTCCTTCCCAATGGTCAGTGCTAAGAGTTGTTGGATTAGCATCTAAGACTGATGAGTTCATTAGTTTGGCATCAATAAGGTTCTCTTTTAGTTCAGTTGTTAAATTTGATTTTTCAGCAATAATAGTGCCATCCAATTTTTCAAAGCTTGAGGCAACAAAAGAACCATCATAAATCTCGGATTCAGGTAGTTTTGGTGTGGCTTCAGGAGCAACTAACATGGCATCAATAGCTGATTCATTTTGCAAAGATTGTTGTTGAGTAGAAGCATTGTTAATGACATTACCACCACCGGATTTGTATTCCACATCGGTATCATTACGGAGACCATTTTCAATAGCAGTTTCATTGTTTTCTGTAAATGGAGAAGGATCCTTGACTATACCTTTGTTACTTTCCATACTACTACTGTCTTGCATCTTATCAATGTCACCATTTCTCTCTTCTTCAACTACCTCATGGGGGTCATCAGAAACCAATGACACTTCTTGCTCTGTTGTAAAGGGCTTCATCTGTTGTTTTGGTCCTGCATACACCAAAGATGTATCATACATTTATACATCTTAATAACACCATGAAGAAAATAGGCATAATTAGACAGCTGCTCAAACAAGAAAAACAGGTATACCCGCAGAAGATGGATACTTTAGTGAACTGGTAGAAAACTATAGGCACACACCCAAGAGCAAATGAAAGAGGGTAAAACATTAGAGCCTCTTTGGTATTTTTAACCTTTATGTTATTTTCATTTGGTTTCCCCCCACAACTTTTGATAAGTAAAACTAAACTAAAACTATGAAAAACATTTATTGGGGTTGTTCTTGATCTCTAACAGGCCCAAGTTTGTCAAAGAGCAGAATTTTTTTTTTGGCGGTTTCCTTAAAACAGGCTTTTCTAGATATTTTGCAGAACAGTTTCTTGAAATGTGCTAATGCTCTGCAAAACCATTTCAAGTGTCCTTTTCATTCTACAGTTTTCAAGAACAGAAAATAGTTTTCAAGCACCATAGCAAACGGACCCTAAATTCGTATATACCCATTTTCGAAGATGATGTAAAGCTTGACAATCAGCAATAGAGTAAAGTTACGTACTGGATGCGCTTCGTTTGCTTATAGACAGTGCAGCAAATGTAAGTCCAGCAATGAGAATAACACCAGATACTCCAGATGCCACAATCCCTGAAACTAAACTACTTCGGGAGTGTTATCAGTCTACAAAACAACCTCAAAAACAACTTCATTTCAAAGTAAAACAGCTATATTGGAGTTAATCAGATTCTATTCCACCCACGAATTTCAAAATTAGTACCACCAAGGAGCACTAAATGATTTATCTTGTCAAAGATCATAAATGGTATCTGTAATATAATTAATATTGACAATCGGCTTAATTTGCCTTCCAGATGGTTAATTGCTGGTAGTCTTAGCTCATATATAAAACGCTCTCTTTGAAATAATAGAAGACATCTAATTCAACTCAACACTTCGCTATCCCCCAAAAAAAGACACACGGTAAGTTCGAAACGATCATAAAACAAAGAATAGAACCGCACTCACCTCCAAGACGTTGCGAGTCAACGGACTTTTCACCAGCATCGGCACCAGACCATCCAGATAAACCATCAGCGGAAGAATTCGAACTCATCCACGAATTTCCACTACGACGCCGTTCCACTCCATTACCATTGCGTCCACTATCTCCAGAAGTAGAAAAAACTCGAATCCTACGACTTACCTTCTGAACACCAATCCGTACAAAAACTGACGAGGGTTTTCTGCAATTCAAGGCCAATCGAAGCTGAAACGAGCTCGGAGACCACGTCGTACTTGAAGAACTCATTCTGCGGCGATAATTCGAAGCTCCGCCAGAAATGAATGAATTTAGGGATTTGAAAGCGAATGATTTTGTATTTTTTTTCGCACAATTAGAGACGAAATAGTGATGAATCTTTTTCTAATGAATGACTATCGCGAACAGTACGTCTCTCTTGAATAAAAAACGTTTGAAGCTAATTTCTAGGGTTTGTCTTTTGTTATGTACCAAGGAGAAAACGAAAGAGTGGAGGTTTCTCTCTCTAAGCGTCAATGTCGATTCTCTCTCTCTCTAACTGTCGATATACGCACACATACTCTCTTTATCTGTAAGAGGATGTCTATCAATCTTTATCTATCTTATCAGTTATATTTATATCTGTCTCTCGTGAACCTCTAATAAGAAAACACTTTTCCGACCACCGGAGTAGAAATTTCAGGTGGCGAATGAGCTAACTAAATTACCGGAAGTAGCCAATTTTTGTAAGAAATACCTAAATGCCGTGTTTTATTTCATTTCTTGTGTTGTTCAGTTAAATAAAGTTAAGATTTATGTGGGTCCGGTCAACTTACACGAATAAGTTAAAAAAATTCAACTTGTATGTTAATACGACTAACTGTGGACACTATTTATCAGTGTCAAATCTGTATAAAAAAAATTCCGAATTCAAATACCTGGCAAGCAATTTGTCACAATTTTGCGAAGAAATCCCCCTTAGATGTGGGACCCTTTGGATTTTTTATAAAGGGTTAATTACACTACAGGTCCTCAAAGTATAAAATTTATCTTATTTTGGTCTCTAATATTTTAATTGGCATCATTTTGATACGTAAAACATTGAATATGTTTTTATATGGTCTCTCAAGTAGACAGTGTCCGCTAATAATTTTTTATCATGAACTTATTGCGTGATACTTAAATATGAACAAAAAATAATTTAGATAATACTTGACCAAATTTTTACTTAAATTTTGATTAAATAGTTACTTAAATTATACAGTTTGATCATGAACTATCCAAATTTTGATCAAAAGTTACCCATATTACTTTTTTTTTTGTCAAGAGCTACCCAAATTTTGTTTAATAGCTATCAAAATTATTTTTTATCCATATTTAAGTATTATGTGACAAGTTTATAATAAAAAATCGTTAGCAATCTGAACGTTGTCTGTTTGAAAGACCAAAATAATGCAATTAAAACATTTGAGACCAAAATAAGACGAATTTCATACTTTGAAGATCTCTAATGCAATTAACCCTTTTATAAATCAATTTGCTAATTCATGTCATATTGAAAATATTTTGGTCATCATTTTGTAAAACCAAAGTGAAATGGAACTGCTTACTCATTTGACAAAAAAAAATTCGATATTACGTGCATTTAACATTGCTCGAAGTAAGTATCATAAGACATGACTATGATATTGGAAAAAAAAATTCGGTATTATATTTTTAAGTTTTATAATTTTTGAGTTTTTATACAAGTCTAATAATTTATTTTACAATGAAAAAATTTATAATGAGGGTGCAGTAGACTTCTCCAATTTTATAAAGCGGTTATAGCAGTGTGTTAAATATTGCTCAACAATTTTTCATGAGAGATGAGATGTTCAAAACTCATCATGAGCTATTCATTTAAAAATAAAAATAAAATAGACGGTGTAAAGATTGGGTCTCAAGATGATACAGATTACAGAGAATAAAAGCTAATACAATCAGGCTGCGGCAATTAGAGCTTCTCCTCTATAATGTACATTGAGGTTAACACAGGGCCTCAACAAAGAAGTAACAAGGTTTTTAATCTTCTTAGTTTAGAGTGAATAGAACTGTGAATAGAGATAATCCCGTATTCTATAGTATTCTTCAGATAGAGGGCCTTCAATAACGATTTGCTGGATAGCAGCAGCACCACCCTACAAAAAAAATGTGGGAGAGTCAAAAGGAGGTGGTTTAAATGTTTGAAAATCTGCCTGTGGGCTCTTATAGTTCATGGCCGCTAACAAACTATGGGGGAGAAAATATTCATTTCTAGTTAGGGAAAGCAAGAACATAGCCGTAGTTGCCTACCTTCTGGCTTGCATCTCCAACCTTCCGCAGAGTTACGTACTCCCCACATCGCAAGGCCCCGCCAGAAAATTCTACCTGAAAAAAAAAAAATGGTCAGGTATTTGTCTATCAAGCATTGTGAAATTTAATCAGCTTGTTCACACAGTATGGGCTTCATATATAATGTAAGTAATTCATTGACATCCAAGTAAGAGGCACTTATTGACTGCAAGATCATGGTAATCTACAATAGCAAGCATGGATAGAGGTAATCGAAGATGAAAGACCACATTACTCATGCACTACAATGAAATGAAAATTCAAAAACTTTTGTTTAAAGCAAGCAGGAAAGAAGAGTACTTGGACACCCTTGCTCGCAAGAAACTGCTTGAAATCTGCCATTTTTATATCCCCGACAAGTACCGATTTGTGTGGTGGAGCAGGAGTTGAAAGAGGAAGTAAAGACATCATCCCACTTTCTGTCTTCCCCACTTCAGCATCAACCCAGGCTATTTCATAATCTCCAAGCTGCAATCACAACCATATGAGAGAGAGAGGGAGAGAGAATTTCTGTAAGCATTGGACTAGTCCCGCCCAAGGCTAACATACATCAAGTTAAACATGATATAGCAGCACCTTTACCAGGACTAATGACCTATCTAATAATTTTATTGTTATGTTTGTGTCTAATGTTCAAAAATATGAACTCCAAATGGTCAAAGTATCTCAGTTACAGGTGAGACATTAAACCAGAAAGTGCAATTATTTTAACCAACCAGGAGACTAAAAATCAAGACATTATGAGCAGAGACAGCAACACCACTAGCACTTCCCATTCAACAAGACTTCACCTCACACTGTAAACCAAATGCATCCACTTAAAAACCTATAATAGCTGCAATAACCACCAGCACTTCTCATCCAACAAGACTTCCCAGTAGGAGATCTTGTATATTTAGTTCTCTATTTTCACTTGTCAACACATTGAAAAGATATCCAAAGCTTCATAATAAATGTATTATATAACATTCATATATATTAAAAAATAACATAGTTAGGATAAATCATGCTTCAAGATGCTGAGATGTTTACCTTCTTAAAGAGCACATTACTCATCAGCTTTTCAGAAAGTTGCACCTATGTATAACAAAAAAGGAGGATTGAAACCTAGATTTCGAAATAAATTGGTTCTAGAACATGCCAAGTATTCTTTTTATTATACCTTATAAGCACACAAATCTGAAGTGACATCAATCATTTCTTCAATTTGGGGAGCATAGACATGAGGGCAAACATGTTTCGAACAGTGTTGCTTCAAATGCTCAGTGGCCTCCGCTGATCCATGCACCAAGACCTCAAAAAGGGGAAAAGTAATACCAACAAATTAACTTCCACTAATAGGGTTCCATATGCAACCACCAAACTAATTAGTTGGGCGTGTGTGTTTTTTTTTTTTTTTTTTTT